TGAGGGGTGTGCCCTTTGAAAATTCTTTACTTTTTCTTCATAGATTAATCGAATTTAGATTTTGTTGTATTTTCTTCGTAATTGATTTTAAATTTTATTGCTTTAGGGTTACTTGAATTGATAGCATAATATTGCTTAAGCTGTTGTTTTGATTTTTGTTATTTTTCGAGAAAAAAGATAGGGGTAATTTTCAAATCAGTTGATGTTTGAAAAATTAATGATAAATTTATAAATATAAAAAGTAAAATTATAAACTATGTCATGAATTTGTAAACGATCTCAAAATTCAAGATCTATAAAATAAATTTATTAATTTATACAATTTTTAACAAAAAGAAAATTTAATCCATACATCACAAGAAATCAAAAAAAAAAAAAAACAACACACACACACACTCACACACACACAACAATTGTGTTTGATTGGACGGACTGGATAATGAGGATTAGAATCTATCGGACTTGAGTCTGGGACTGTGAATCCCCCGATTATTTGATTGGATTGGATATGTATCCTGTGTTTATTTTTTCATGGATAAGATGCTGGATGACTATTTTTAGTGAATCCAACGTTTGGTTGAGACGGACTGAAAGGATAAATGAACAAAAAAAAATTTTACCACTTTTCAATATGTTACTAAGTAATAGCAAATTAAACATATCTTTAATATTTTTAATTATTTTAGTAGATTAAATAAAATATTTTATTTTATTTTTTTACACAATTAAATAAATTTATTTTTTTAAATATAAATAAATAAAATATCAATAAATAATATATGTTATTTTTTAATTAAAATTTTAAATAAATTGTTTTTAAAAAATAATAATTAAACAATGAATTATAAAACACATGAAATTTAAATAAGAAATTAAATAATAAACAAAATTTTAAAATAAAACATCAATAAAAATATCTATAAAAAAATTATTTAAAAAATAAATAAATAAAACATCAATAAAAGGTTAAATAAAATATTTATTTTTAAATTGAGACATTTAAATTTTATTAATTTTACTAAATATAATACATAATTAAAATAGTAGAGGTAAAATGTCATTTTACCACCTAATCCCAATAGTAAATAGTTCCTAAAATTGTCCCACAACCCCCCTAGGATAGTATAATCCCCTATAAGGAGGGATAAGGAGTCCGGTGAACTAAAAAAAAAAAACAAACAATGGACTATTCATCCTTCGGCTAAGCAATCCGAACAATGAATAATCCCCCCTGCCTAATCCCCCCAAGGGTGACGGACTGGATAAAGGGGATTAGAATCCATTCGGACTTGAGTCTGAACTGTGAATCCCCCGGACTATTTTGATTGGATTGGATATGTATCCTGTGTTTGTTTTTTCATGGGATTAGATGTGCTGGAAATGACTATTTTTTTAGTGAATCCAACGTTTGGTTGGACGGACTGGATAGGATAAATGAACAAAATACTATTTTACCTTTTTCAATTGTTTACTAAGTAATAGCAATATTAAACATATCTTAATATTTTTAATTATTTTTAGAAGTTTAAATAAAAAATTATTTATTATTTTTTTACACAATTAAATAAATTTATTTTTTTAATTAAATAAATAAAATCAATTAAAAATATATGCTATTATTTTAATTAAAATTTAAATAAATTTGTTTTTAAAAATAATAATAATTAATCAATGAAATTAAATAAAACATCTATTAACATTTAAATAATGAAATTAAATAAATATAACAAAATTTTAAAATAAAACATCAATAAAATATTCTTATAAAAAATTATTAAAAAAATTAAATAAATAAAAACATCAATAAAAAGCTAAATAAAATTATTTTATTTTAAATTGAGACATTTAAATTTTATTGAATTTATTAAATATAATACATAACTAAATAGTAGAGAGTCAAAATGTCATTTTACCACCTAATCCATACAGTTGGATAGTCCCCCGTAAATTGTCTTGATACCCCCAAAGGATACAATAGTCCTCCATATAGAGATAAGGAGTCCGGTCGGACTCTATGTCTGGCGGATTAAAAAAAACAAACGGCAGATTAGACACTTTCCCCGGATTACAACCCGCACAGTAAATAGATCCCTCTCTTATCCCCCCATTGGGAAACTATGTATCCTTGGGGGTGTGGGACAATTTTCGAGGGACATCCACTGTTGGGATTAGATGGTAAAATAAACTATTTTGACCTCTAATTATTTAATATTATATTATTTAATAAAATTCAATAAATTTAAATGTTCTCAATTTAAAAATAAAATAATTTTATTTAACTTTTTATTGATGTTTTATTTATTTAATTTTTTTTAAAATAATTTTTTATAGATACTTTTATGATTTTTTTTTAAAATTTGTTTATATTTAATTTAATTTCATTATTTAAATGTTAATAGACGTTTATTTAATTTCATTGTTAATTATTATTATTTTAAAAACAAATTTATTTTAAAAAATTTAATTAAAAAATAAACATATATTTTTATTGATTTTATTTATTTAATTTTAAAAAAAATAAATTTATTTAATTGTGTAAAAAATAAAATAAAAATAATTTTTATTTAATCTATCTAAAATAATTAAAATATCAAAAATATGTTTAATATTGCTATTTACTTAGTAAACAATTAAAAAAATGTTAAAATAGTCTTTTGTTCATTTATCCTATCCAGTTCGTCCAACCAAACGGTTGGATTCACTAAAAATTAGTCTTTCTAAACATCCAATCCCATAAAAAAACAAAACAGGGATACATAATCCAATTCACCAAATAGTCCGATGGGATTCACAGTCCCAGGACTCAAAGTCCGATAGATCTAATCTCCCTTATCCAGTCCATCCAATCAAACCACACCATTAGGTTGTATTTGATTGATTGGAGTTGATGATCTAAAGGGGGATTATTCACTGTTCGGATTGCTTATCCGAAGGAGTGAGTAGTCCATCGCTTGTTTTTTTTTTTAATCCGCTGGACATGGAATACGGCCGGACTCTTATCCCCCATATGGGGATTATACTATCCGAGGGAGGGGGTGTGGGACAATTTTGGAGGGGATCTATTTACGTTGGCGATTAGGTAGTGAAAATGATCATGTTTGACCAATCTACGCTCTCTACTATTTAATTATGTATTATATTTAGTAAAATTCAATAAAATTTAAATGTCTCAATTTAAAAATAAAATTATTTTATTTAACCTTTTATTGATGTTTTATTTATTTTTATTTTTAAATAATTTTTTTATAGATATTTTATTGATGTTTTATTTTAAAGTTTTGTTTATATTTTATTTAATTTCATTGTTTAATATTATTTTTAAAAACAAATTTATTTAAAATTTTAATTAAAAAAATAACATATATTTTTATTGATATTTTATTTATTTTATTTTTAAAAAATAAATTTATTTAATTGTGTAAAAAATAAAATAAAATAAAATTTTATTTAATCTAGCTAAAAATAATTAAAATATAAAAGATATGTTTAATGTTGCTATTACTTAGTAAACAATTGAAAAATAGTAAAACAGTTTTTATTCATTTATCTTTTCCAGTCCGTCCAACCAAACGTTGGATTCACTAAAAATAGTCCCAGACATCTAATCCTATAAAAAAACAAACACAGGATACATATCCAATCCAATCAAATAATCCAGAGGATTCACTGTCCCAGAACTCAAATCCGATAGATTCTAATCCCTCTTATCCAGTCCGTCCAATCAAACACACCCAAGATGCTTCTTTTTTTCTTTTTCTTCTTTATTTGAATTCTGTCATGTGAATGAGAAAAAATATTAAAATTTTATGATGAATGTATGGGTCGTGTCACCGATTTAGCATGTTACATTAATGTTTTAGTCATTGGGACTTCATACTTTGGTGCTGAATTTACTAATGCTTCCTAAACTTCAAGTTAAACCTTTATTTCAACATTCATATAAATCACAAAGTCCCACAATTATTATAGTCTGGTAGTAAGAGACGAATGAGTACATTGATTTTGTGGTGGTGTGATTTTTCATTTGTCATTTGATTATGTGGATAAAACATTGTCTAATGTAACAATGTTCATCTTCAGGTTGATAAGGTTTTTGGTAGATAGCTACAACAATCCAATTCCAGCAATTTTGGAGATTCCTTCCAAGGACCATCCTTACGATCCAACACATGATTCTGTTCTTTCAAGAGTGAAGTACCTCTTCTCTGCTGAATCAGTGGCATCGGGAAGGCGCTAAATCACATCTATATGTTCTATCAGTACCTGTTGCCATATCATATTCCCACATCTTTCTCCGAAAGTTTTGTATCCGGAATCACTTTTTTTCACTTAGTTGTTTGTCTTTCTGAATTTCTTTGCATGATTACATGTTCAAATATAATGGAATTGTTAGGCTTGCCTATAATTTCAATAAACTATATTTATGAAAACATTTAGCGGAAGGCCGTATTTTTATTGCAAATTGAGTTAAAAACTTAAGCTCGGGTAGAGATTACATAACATGGGTATCATTATAGTAATTGAGCGTATACTGAAGTTAATGTTTCCATTGATGGAATTATTTCAATTTAAAATGAAGCATTGTCAAAAGCTTGAATCCAATTTGTACAAAAACTCAAAATTCGGATGATTTTGAAAGTCTAAAAAGATGTGATGCTAAAGATACAAAATTGACTCTGAAATGGCAGAACTAGCCGCCAAGGCAGTGCAGATTTCAACAATTTAGTGAAGATTTCTAATTCTTTCAGCCCTTCTTCAGGGGATTTTGCCTCACTCAGTAGTTTCACCATGGCACTACCAACAATCACGCCGTCAGCTCCCCATCCTGCCATCTGTAACAAACACAATCAAGGTTGATTGGTAAACTCTACATTAAGCATTTTCGGGTTTTGGTAAACTCTACACAATCCATGGTGACAAAGAGGTTCGTGTTGTGAGAAACCTGCTTCACATGCTCGGGTTTTGATATGCCAAAGCCAACTGCTACAGGCTTACTTGTTGCCTGTCAAAAAGCACCAAAACACAATAGAAACCAATCACATCATAAATCTATGGCTCTAAATAGGACTAGTCTACAAGTCAGACATTCAAATGCCATTCCAGACAAAGTGGAATTAACACGTGATCAAGACTAAAATCATGATACTAGGCATTACGCAATACTACGCATCTCATTACAATTTCACATTATTTGAAAGCCTATCCAAATGTTGTATCAAGGCCCGAAAAATGCAGCAATTCCGATAAGTTGGGATGAAAGGGCAAGTCTATCCATGTCTGCACCACATACTTCAGTTGCTCACCCAAACAAGTGTGAATAGCATGAAACATAAGTTAAACAGTTGCAATTGGTCTTAATCTACCTAATGGCATGACTGTGTCGTGTCTTTAAAAGGACACCATACCTTTTTCATACTGAGATACAAGATAGTTCTATTACATTTTAAGGTTTGGTATGCGATGCTATAGAAGACAAACCTGTTTAATATCCTGTAGAAGAGTTTGAACCTTTCCACTAACAGATACACGAGCACCAGTGACTCCAATCGAGCTCACCTATGGTTCAAAACCACGAATTGTAAGTTCCAAACTTGCAGTGTCATTTTCTTTTACAATTATTCTCTACTTTCAAAGCAATAACTACACCAAATTTATTTCAAAAACATATAAGAAATAAAATATTCAGAATGACTTGGTATAAGAAAGAACATAATCTAAATTTCTCTAATGTAAAGGAAACAAAATAAGGGGAGCCCGGGTTAACTGCAATTCTTGAAGTATTTATATGGATGTTGATTATGATTCCACAAGTATCCATCCATTTTCATCTATTGGATTTCAACTATCACTTGTTGAGCAAAAAGGCCATCACTAAATGATGATTAGACAGTAATAAGCAGAAATATTAGGGAAATGGTACGAGTAGCAGTAGGTGATGATAATTCGCAAACCGAAATATAGCATTAGAATGAATGAGTGATACTGAATAATGTTATGATGAATAGGTAAAATTTAGAAATAGATTCATAGATCGCAAATAGAAACTGCCATAAAATATAGTTGTATTTTGCTACTGCGCTACAAAGGCAATGGCAGTAGAAGTAAAGATATAATAAGAAGTTATGTCAACTCTAAACCAACATTGTCAGAATGTTATGAGTGGCCAATGCAAGTACCTGAAATTGTCATGTTTTAAACTTACCTTTACGAAGAAACACATTAACCAATAGAAGATACAGTGGAAAGATCTAATTAACTGATCAACCTTAATGGATGCTATGAGCCTATTGAAATACTTGAAAATGCCAAATAAATCTACAAAAGTACTGACAAATGAGAGAATAATTAACAAATAATTAATCAACCATGGACAGAGATCTGAAAGTGGTGTCAACAATAATTACTGGGGAAAGAAGGATCTTACAAGATACACAAAAAATATGATTAATGATTGATAACTATAAGACAAAAAAATGAGAAATAGATGCAAACATGTTAATATTTGGATAAACTTATTGTTATACATTTATATATACATATATATATATATGCAAAAATATTTGAATAATATAATCGAGATCGCGGAGTAAAAGCCAACCACAGGCAAATAAGGTGCTATGTAGCATACACTGCTAGAAATAGGGGCTTTAGAGGCGTTTAAAAAACGCCGCTATAGGTCCTAAAAACGCCATCAAATCATTTTGTGGCGTTTAGCACCAAACGTCGAAGATGCGGCCGTCGCTATAACTTTATGACGCTTTAGAAACGTCGCTATATCACTATAGGCGGCGTTTTTAAAACGCCGCTAAAAGTTCTCCTAGCAGTAACATGACATCATCATACTATTTAGTGACGTTTTTAAAACGCCGTCGTATCTCTTTTTAAAAAAATCTAACCGTTGGTTTGATATTTAGAGACGTTTTTAAAAACGCCGCGATAGCCTCCTTTTTTTTTTTTTTTTAAATTATGCTAATTTTATGTGATTGAATTAAAAAAATACCTGCAATAAAACTGAAAAATAACACTAATATGAAATAACAATTCCCATTCAAAATACAATATTAATTCACTTTTCCATTCAATTTAATATCCAATCACCATTAATTCAATTTCATATCCAATCACCATTCAATTTAAGACTATACCGAGGCACCTGTTTGCTCGGCAGGTAGGTCGACCGCAGACAAGTGTGAGTAGTCCCGAGCTCGGCTTTGCCGAGATGTCGCCGAGTCCGGTCCTCATCTGAGCTTAGCTGTTGGAGTACTTGGGCATGAAGCGCAACATGGCAGACGATGGCCGAGATGATACTGCCCGGCTGCCGAGCTCCCAGGAGCATGGGTAGGCAGTTGGGTTAGGTGGTGCTCAGCAAGGTTTATGCTGACAGATGGGATAGCAGTGCCACGTGTTGAGAGATCACTGGGAGTAGATTTGGGGCGCAGAAGGTATATAAGCATGACTGCGCCCCCATACGTGGACAGATGAACATTTGGTGAGACGAACACTTTGTAAGGAACTCCTACACTCAAACACTCTCTCTCTCTATCCCTGTGTGTGTCTAATTTGATCGTCGGAGGGGTTTTTCGGCCACACACCGCCGGGTAGCTCACCCTCATTGTGCTCTCAGGTGATCGGACAGAAACGGAGCTTGGAAGAAAGGAGTACGGGCTTGCTGAAATATTTGCTCCCCGTACAATTGGCGCCGTCTGTGGGAATCTTGCAGATAAAACCTTGTCTTCCACGCTCGTCTGACCGCCGACCATGGCGAACAACGAAGAGTTTCCGTTGTTTGCCATAGACGGTGCAACCCCAGAGTTTACCCGACGGAAAGAAGGACCTCCCGCCATCCATTCGATGGCGGACTTGGAGACACCCACCGGAGGACAGTCAGGAGATGCGCGGGATAAGCGCGAGAGAAGTTATGGTCATTCACGAAGTCTGGACGGTCATCGGCGGCGGAGAGAATCACATGCCCGACGTCTGGAACACAAGTTGAGGGACCAAGACGCTGTCATCCGGCGAATGGCGGCGAAGATGGAGGAGCTCAAGCGGCATGTCTAAGGAAAGGGTGTAGCTGGAGTGGGTGACCACAGTGAGCGCACCCCATCCCACCGTTCAGGCGGTCAGAGTCAGCGATGCACTCCATCCATTTCTATTACCAGAAGTTACCGGGTTGGTGATTCCGACGTGCATGCAGAGAAGTCTAGCGCGCAAGACAGCACCTACCGGCCCTCACGTCCGGTGACGACGTCAAGGTACTCTTACTCCGCTCATTCAAAAGATTTGCGGGCGGTCTTAAAGGAGCGGGCTCGCCGGCACGAAGCTCAGAGGATACCGGCGTTCCAACGGCTATCCTACGGGGTTCACGCCAGCGAGGAGGTCGGAATGCCTCCACCCCGCCAAGCAGCGCCGCTCCTAGTGGATTCAGATTTGGCCAGGCTAAGTGCCACCCCTTTTGCCCAGGAAATAGAAACAACACCGCTTCCGGCAGGCTTCCACCAGCCTAAGTTCACACTCTACGACGGAAAAACCGATCCTTACGTGCATGTAAGCCACTTCCGACAGGTTATGGCCGGACACTCCTAGTGGATTCAGATTTGGCCAGGCTAAGTGCCACCCCTTTTGCCCAGGAAATAGAAACAACACCGTTTCCGGCAGGCTTCCACCAGCTAAAGTTCACGCTTTACGACGGGAAAACCGATCCTTACATGCATGTGAGCCACTTCCGACAGGTTATGGCCGAACATAGGCGAAATGACGGACTTATGTGCCTGATCTTCCCGTCAAGTTTAGGCCAGCTGGGCTTGAAGTGGTTCGAGAGGTTGCCGGAAGGGAGCATACAACGGTGGCATCAGTTGGCCGAAGCCTTTGTGACGCGCTTTAAAACCAACACAAAAACACCAAAGGAAGTCGATCATTTACTGAGTGTCAAGATGGAACCGAGCGACACATTGAAGGCATACAACTCTAGGTATTGGGAGACCTTCAACGAGATCTTAGATTGCCCGGTCAATCGTGCAATCACTCAATACAAGCGTGGTCTCCCAGTCGGATATAGACTGCGGGACTCGCTTACCATGCACCAACCGACCTCCATGGGCCAGCTCATGCAGCGCATCAATGAGCACATCCGAGTCGAGGATGATCCGTCAGCATCTACCGTGAAGGCAACTCCGGTAGCAACAGACAAGAAGACAGCAGGCAAAGTGCACGCAGTTAGACAAGAGTCCAGCCGCTCAAGTGACCGCGCAGAGGAATCGGACCGTGGCTCGAATCGCAAAAATCGGGGTAGAGGACGTCGAAATGACCGGGATGACTACCCCCGAGATGACGTATCGGATGCAAACAGACGGTTGAAGGCAAGGATTGGCATAACCACAGTCTTCAAGATTCTGATCTATCGCATCCTTAGTGAAATCCGAGACGAGGAGCATGTCCGATTTCCTGCTAAGTTGGGCGATGGAAAAAAAGGCTACAATCTGCGGTATCGTTGCACGTTTCATCGGGAGCGAGGCCATCTGACAGAGGATTGTTTGCCATTAAGGCAACACCTGGAAGAGCTAGTCGCGGCCGGGCACCTGGATCTTTACATTGATGGGGGCATCAAGGCAAATCAAGTTCCGGTTGATCCGCGGGGACCGGACGACCGGGATGCACCTCCTCAAGGGGTTGCGAATGTCATCCACGGCATAGTGAAACCGGTGCGCGTTTGCGAGCTCCGTGGCATGATCAAAAAGGCAGAACACATGAGGGAAGTTTTGTCAGTTCAGCCTGCGCTTAAGAGGGGGAGGACGGAAGCGAAAGAAGTGATCAGTTTCTCCTCAAGGGACTTGGAGCGCATTCAGACACCACACAATGACGCCTTAGTAGTTACACTCCGCGTCAAAGACTTTGAAGTGAAACGGATCTCGATCGATCAAGGAAGCTCGGTCGAGATCATGTACTACGACGCTTTCCAGCAGCTCAAGCTCCGAGATACGGACTTGGCCCCGGCGACATCGCCGTTGGTTGGGTTCAACTCACAACCAGAGTGGCCTTTGGGAAAGATTATCCTGCCGGTCAAAGCGGGATCCGTGGTCAAACAGGTGGAGTTCTGGGTATTACAGGTGCCATCTACTTACAATTTGATCCTTGGAAGGGGGTGGCTTCACGCTATGCAAGCCGTGGCATCGACTTTTCACCAAGTAATGAGATTCCCCTCGGCCACGGGGGCAATCGAGGAGATTTGGGGCGATCAGGTCATGACAAAGCAATGCTTCGTGGCGGTCAACGGGAGCCGAGCTGCCAAAGGATTTGTTCAGATGATTGAGGGACCGGAGGACCAGGGTGTCTCGGATGATGTGGGCACCAAGGCCGAAGACAAAGCTGTCGAGGAATTTATGGAGGTGTGAATTGATACAGAGTAGCCGGACAAGTTCTTCTTGCTCGGCTCAAGCCGTAGAGCCACAGAGCGGACCGAGATGGTTGAGTTTTTGATGGCCAACATCGAAGTTTTTGCATGGTCGCCTTACGACATGCCCGGTCTCGATCCTAGTTTTATTTGCCATCATCTTAATGTCTTCCCCGGAGCCAAGCCAGCCATTCAGCGAACAAGGAGATCGGCGTTACATAACGCCGAGGTAGTTGCGGAAGAGGTCAAGAATTTGCTGGAGGCACGAGCAATTCAGGAAGTACACTATCCTCGGTGGATCTCAAATACAGTGGTGGTACCGAAGAAGAATGGGAAGTGGCAGGTTTGCGTTGATTACAAGACCGTCAACCGAGCTTGTCCGAAAGATAGCTTTCCTTTGCCTAGAATCGACCAGCTTGTGGATTTTGACGGCTGGACATATACAAGGCTAAGTTTCCTAGACCTAACCGCTGGCTATCATCAGATTGCCATGCATGGCCCCGACCGAGAAATCACCTCGTTTACTACACCAAGGGGACTCTTTTGCTACCGAGTCATGCCTTTTGGTTTGAAGAACGCCGGGGTAACTTTTCAGAGGATGGTGACCACGATGTTTGCTCCTTTGCTGGGCCGGACAATGGAAGCTTACATTGATGATATGGTGGTTAAAAGCCGGCATCAGGCAGATCATTTGTCCGACTTGGCCGAGATGTTCGCCATTCTCAAAAAGCACAAGCTACGCCTGAATGCGTCTAAGTGTGCCTTCGGCGTGGGATCCGGAAAATTTTTGGGATTCTTAGTCATGAACCGAGGTATCGAAGCAGACCCTACACAAATTCAAGCCATGCAAAAGTTAAAATAGCCTAGCTCGGCAAAAGATGTGCAGCATTTGGCCGGAATGGCTGCCGCGCTTAATCGATTTATAAGCCGGTCATCAGATTGCTGCCGCCCTTTCTTTCAGTCCTTAAAATCAAAGTTCTCCTGGGATGAAGAGTGTGACCGAGCTTTGGCCGAGCTCAAAGAGTATCTTTCTTCAACGCCACTGTTGGTCACACCGGAGCCTGGAGA